CGCGATCGCCTCGAGGCTCACCGCAATCAAGAGTTGCGGGGGCCACTCCGTCCACGACTGATGGCCACCTCCTCGCTGGGACTTCCAAGGGCCTCAGCCTCTTCGGCCTCGGCACTGCCCGTGGGCGATGGCAGACCTTGCTCGCCGGCGTTGGCCGCGCGGAGGGCGGCGCTCGCGCGTTAGCGGTTGACCTTCTCCTCGGCCCTGCGCGTCTTCTCTTTCTCCTTCTTCTTCTTTGTCCTTTTCTTTTTCGTTTTCTTCTTGCTGGGCATGTCGGCGTCGGTCGCTTGCATGAGCTCGTGCTTGCTCTCGTCCTTGCCCTTGCCCTCCCCTTGTTTGACGCGATCGCGGCGTGCCCGCGAGAGCCGATGGGCGCCATGACTCCCATCCTCGTCCAGAACGGGCGCGGTGCTGAAGATTTGGCAATGTCGGTCTCCAGCTTGAGCCGTGAGCGGAGCTGTCCTCGTCGAGCTCCGCCTCGTGGTCCAGGGACAGAGATGGGGGCCTAGGCTGAGTCTCTGGTGAGAAGTGCCGACGGGGAGGAATGCGTGGCACGCGCTCGCCCTGTGGCGCTGGGGAACGCGATGGCCGTGGCGTCGGCGGCGTTGACCCCTTAGGACCCAGCGGGTCGCTCTTGGAAGATGGCGTGCCAAGGGCCGACTCATCGAAGGCCGAGAGAGCGTCTTGCCCAAACCCTGGAAACGAGCCGAGATTGGTGAGTGTGTGTATATATATATATATGTATATATATATATATATACTAGAACCACGCGCGCGCTTCGCGCGCGCTTAGGTTCTAGCTAGGATCGTCACCGTCGTCATCATGAACATCACCATCGCCATCATTCCCCCCGCCAGGGCTAATGTACATCGTTTCTGGATGCTTCTGGCCGGAATACGAAGGGAATTCTGTAGTCAGAGTCTCCGGCGGAAGTCGCGGGGCCCCTCAGGATACTTACGGATGCCTCTGATAGTACTCAAGAAATGATGGACCCGTCATTTTGTACTTGTGCCTTGATCAGTGGGACGGGCTTCGCACCGCCGGACATCACAAGACACGCTCGAGCGGATCCAGCCGTGGCGACGTCGGGGACTGCAGAAGGTCGCAAGGACACGGAATCTGAAAGGAAGAGAGAGAGAGAGAGAGAGAGAGAGAGAGAAAAAAAGAGAGAGAGAGAGAGAGAGAAAGAGAGGGAGAGAGAGACAGACAGACAGAGAGCGAAGGAGAGAGAGAGAGAGAGAGATGGAGTGAGAGAGAGAGAGAGAGAGAGAAACAAAAAAAAAAGACAGAGCGAGAGAGAGAGAGAGAGGCAGAGAGAGGAAATGGAGAGGATGCGAGCTTGAGTCAACGAAAGTCGCAGGGAAGGGGGCAAGGGGAAGAAGGCCAGAGAGCGCTGAAGGATACAAATACTGGAACCCTCTTGGGATTTTTTTGGGGGCCTCGTCCGGCCGCTCGCTGGGAGTTTGACGTAGCTTCTCGGGAGCCTCTGAACCTGTCGGGGGCCTCCTGGAAGCAGGTTCGAAGCATTTTGGAGCCGATTTGGGGCTTCTCGGGGCCTCCTTTGGGCCTCTTGGGGGTCTCCTGGGGCCTCTTGAGGGGCCTCCTCGGGGCCTCCTGGCGGCCTCTTGGGGCGGAAGGCTCGAGCTTGCGGTTCGTGGTCCCCCTCTGGGCCCCCTCTTGGGCCCGTCTTGGGGCCCTCTTGGGCCATCTTGGGCGCCTCTTGGGCCGTCTTGGGGCCCTCTTGGGCTGTCCTGGGGCCCTCTTGGAAGCTTCTTGGGCCGTCTTGGGGCGGTCTTGGGCGCCTCTTGGGCCGTCCTGTAACGTCGGAAAGCCCAAAAGACAACTTTGTTGAACATGTACGTTTTACGAAGGGAATGGGCCAATTTTTACCTAACAGCGTAGACTGATAGGTTTCTAGTTGACTCAGAAGAGCTCACAGATCACTCCACAGGGGGGTCCGGGCAGGCGTTGGGAGTTGCCGGCCGGGCCTGTGCCGGGCTCGTTTTTCACCAACAGTCACACACTTCGTGCTCGTCGACCTCTCAGAACCCCATTCCCAGGCCACATTCTGAATAACCGGATGCAACAGTCACACACTTCGTGCTCTTCGACTTCCCAGAACTCCATTCCCGGGCCACATTTTGGATGCCCGGAGCCAACTGTAGGCCACTTCGTGCTCTTCGAGTTCCCAGAACTCCATTCCTGGGCATGATTTTGAATGCCCGGAGCCAACTGTAGGCCACTTCGTGTTCTTCGAGTTCCCAGAACTCCATTCCCGGGCCACATTTTGAATGCTGAGGCAGGCTGATGCTGCTGGCCGAGGCAGGCTGAGGCTGAGGCAGGCTGAGGCTGAGGCCGAGGCTGAAGGCAGACTGAGGCTGAGGCTGAAGCAGGCTGAGGCTGAGGCAGAGGCAGGCTGAGGCTGAGGCAGGCTGATGCTGAGGCAGGCTGAGGCTGAGGCTGAGGCTGATGCAGGCTGAGGCTGAGGCAGGCTGAGGCTGAGGCCGAGGCTGAAGGCAGACTGAGGCTGAGGCTGAAGCAGGCTGAGGCTGAGGCTGAGGCAGGCTGAGGCTGAGGCAGGCTGAGGCTGAGGCTGAGGCAGGCTGAGGCTGAGGCTGTGACTGCGACTGCCGTTGCCGCTGCGACTGTCATCGCGAATGCGACTACGATTGCAAGAACAGCAGAACTCTACAGCTGGATTCTCACCTGAATCTTAAGGGGAATGCTTTCAGATATGCTTCTACACATCGCTGTTAGGTTGCTTTGCCGGGATAATTGCGTCTAGGGGCCCTCTTGGGACGCATGTTGGAGGCTTCTTGGGGCCTCTTGGGGGCGTCCTTGGACGTCTGGGGTCTCCTGGGGCCTCTTGAGGGGCCTCCTGGGGGCCTCCTGGCGGCCTCTTGGGGCGGAAGGCTCGAGCTTGCGGTTCGTGGTCCCCCTCTGGGCCCCCTCTTGGGCCCGTCTTGGGGCCCTCTTGGGCCATCTTGGGCGCCTCTTGGGCCGTCTTGGGGCCCTCTTGGGCTGTCCTGGGGCCCTCTTGGAAGCTTCTTGGGCCGTCTTGGGGCGGTCTTGGGCGCCTCTTGGGCCGTCCTGTAACGTCGGAAAGCCCAAAAGACAACTTTGTTGAACATGTACGTTTTACGAAGGGAATGGGCCAATTTTTGCGTCTAGGGGCCCTCTTGGGACGCATGTTGGAGGCTTCTTGGGGCCTCTTGGGGGCGTCCTTGGACGTCTGGGGTCTCCTGGGGCCTCTTGAGGGGCCTCCTGGGGGCCTCCTGGCGGCCTCTTGGGGCGGAAGGCTCGAGCTTGCGGTTCGTGGTCCCCCTCTGGGCCCCCTCTTGGGCCCGTCTTGGGGCCCTCTTGGGCCATCTTGGGCGCCTCTTGGGCCGTCTTGGGGCCCTCTTGGGCTGTCCTGGGGCCCTCTTGGAAGCTTCTTGGGCCGTCTTGGGGCGGTCTTGGGCGCCTCTTGGGCCGTCCTGTAACGTCGGAAAGCCCAAAAGGCAACTTTGTTGAAAATGTACGTTTTACGAAGGGAATGGGCAATTTTTTGCGTCTAGGGGCCCTCTTGGGACGCATGTTGGAGGCTTCTTGGGGCCTCTTGGGGGCGTCCTTGGACGTCTGGAGGCCATCTTCAGCATCTCGGAGCCCTCTTGGAGGCCTCTTGAAAGTTTCTTAGGCCGTCTTGGGCGCTTCTGGGGCCCTCTTGTCTGACCGGGGAGGCCTCCGGCAAGCCCCGGCAAGCCCCGACGAGCCTCCGGGCCCCCCGGAGCCCACATTTGCGGTCGAGGTCCCGGCCCCGGGCCCCCGGACCCGGTCCCCCGTTATATGTGTATATATATATATATAGTGTATACATGGCACGAGAAGAACGCCTATGGTGCATAGCCGACGCATTTCGGCCCGACTGTAGGGACACGAGAGAGCATGTCACGCGCCCAAGTGGACGACGCCGGCACCACGGCAAACCCACGGCAAAACCTGCGTCCAGCACCCCAAATAGACGAGGCCGCCACGCGGCAAATCCACGGCGAGCCCTGCTCCCGAGGCGGCGTTTGCCCTGATGCCCGCGGCCTCCTCCCCAAGACGTCAGGCCGCGCGCCGGAACAAACGGCGCGGCGTGATATGCAAGACACAAGTGCACGCCTGATCTTGCAGGGTTGACCTACCAATCGAGACCTACTCGCTCACCTTCTCCACCTCCTCCTCTTCCTCCCCGCCACTTTCAAAGGTTGCTGAGGGCTCCAGAGGAGTGCTAAGCAACGGCCAAGCGCAAGGGTGCCAAGGTAACGCTTCAGGGTACTTGGTGCGTTATCGTTCCACCAGAAGGGGGGGGTTCTTCATTGCTCCCCGCGGTTATACAAGACACAAGGGCACGTTTGACCTTGCAGGGTCGACCTACCAATCGACCTACCCGTTCACCTTCTCTTCCAAAGCAAGCGCATGCCCGGGCGCCGCGCCACGACAGAGCACGGCAGGAAGCGAGGGCAGGAAACCAGCCCGGCAGTGGGGCGCCCCGCGGAGGAACGCCACCAGAGCGGCCTCAAGGCGAGCAGCGTAACGGCAGTGCCAGGTGCGGGGCAAAGCATCAATACTACCAGTAAGATGGAAACGCATGTGGCTGGATTCGCTCGAGCGACGATCAAAAAGGGGTCTTACGCGAGATGACACAGCGACCTTACGCGGCGGCTTACGCGAGCCGCTTGCGCGGCACGAGACGAGGGCGCTTCCTGTCTTTTTGCGTCGCCCACGTGGCTGGACTCACTCGGGGAGACGTACGACTCGGGTTCGGGGGACTCGGATTGGCCCGACGAGGCCGTCAGGAAAATGACGAGACCCACTCTGAAATTTGACGCGAGCTTCCGTTGAATCAGGAGGGAAGGAAACACACAGACACAATTAATCGTTGACTCCGAGGAAAATATTGGAAAATATGGGAATTGGGCGGGAAGACAAAAACCCAGAACATTTGGAAAAATATGGGGAATCATTTTATTTGTGTGTATTTATTTGTGTGTCCTTGGGCCCCTTGATTGAAGACATCCCACGTCGAGTGCATCTGGCTTCCTGGTCCTTCTTTCACCTTTTGTGAAGTTGGTGCAAGCCCTCGCCTGCACGGAGGGCCAGCTCCGCGCAAAATCGGGGGCGTCCAAGAGGGGGGCGTCTAAGAGGGGAGCGTGCAAATCATGGCCCGAGGCATGTGCGCGGACCAGGGGGGGCCAGGCAACGTATTGAAGTGAGAAGAGGGGCCGTGAAATCTTGGGAGATATTATGGCCCTAGCTATGATCCCCCCCCCCGTAGCTAGTCATCACCCTCCTCTTGGCCGCTCCCGACAAGAGGGCAGCGGCCGCGAGCGAGTTGGAGGCAGCCCGGGGTCCGAACTGGTTGGGACCTCAAAAGTTAAGTCAGGAGGGGGGTTATAGAGCCAAATCCTATCGAAATCGGTCCCCAGCCGCCTCGGATCCGTTTTTGATGGTCCCGGGGCCCGAAAACGCCCCCAGAGGCCAGAAAGGGCAACACACGAAACCCTGTCGAACCCAGAACCTCGATCCTCGCCCCCCTTCCTGCTGGCCGGAACCAGTTCTGGACCACCTCAGACCCCCAGCCCGCTCCGAGTCTGGGCTTCAATCCTGCCGACCCCTCGCCGCACGACGCGCACAGGGACGCGCACGATGGCCCCCGCGGGGCGGCGCTCCGGCGGCCTTTCAACGCACACGTCGACCTGCTTCTGTACACCGCGCGTCGCCTCGGCGGCGACGTCGCGCCGGCGGCCAACTCCCGCTCCCAGCCCGGCTTCCGCGCGCGCTCGCCTGTGGCGTACGCCACGAGGGGCCGTGGTTCGCAGAAAAGCGCGCGCCGGGCGCGCCTCCGACTCGAAGCGAGGGGGGCGCACTTCCGGGCGCGCCCAGGATGGGAACCAAGAGGAGCGGGGTTACAGTCCACCCGAAAAAGAAGGGCGCGCGATGAGGATGCAAGGGCCTTGGAAGGCCATGCCGACACGTTGCGAGCGGGGCGCGGCCCACGAAAGCGGCCGAGGATTAGCCAAAGGGGAAGGATGCAAGGGTACCCATCGGTCTAAAGAAGCAGGTAGAAACATGAAGTGGGACGACGTCGAACGCAGATTGGGTGTCCGCCCGCCCCCTAAAGAGGACGGGAAAGGTGAAGCCACTCGATCATTGAAGTAGGACGGCGCTTAAAGTAGATTGGAATCTGGGACCAAAAACTACAGACTCTCAACGACCGATGGGTAACCTTGGAAAGTCGCTCTCCTTTACGATGCGGGTTGGGCTGTAATTAGCGCGTCGTGGCCCGAGGCCAGTGAGCGGACGCTGGGGGAGTCTGGGGAACGTGCTGGGAGACGAAGAGGGGATCGTCAAAGCTGGGAGACTTCGTGACCCCAGCCATGACATCCACCCACCTCCGGCCCACACACCCCAAATGCGAGATGTCCTGATCTTGTCAATACGGGGTCCCCAGAAGTCCCGACCCCTTCCCCCAGGGCCTGTTCTTCACCCCGAGTCGTTAAATGACGGTCCCAGGGCCCGGCGATGGCCCCCGAAAGCCGAGAACAGCCCCAAACCTCCCGTCGGTTTTTTTCCACGACGCGATCGTGTGACCCCTCTTGGACGCCCCCGGCACTCAAGCCGCCGTGCCTTGCGACGACCGCCGGGCCTGCTGCCGCTGCTGCCTCGGGGCGCGCTGCTGCTTCACCCCGGCGGCCTCCTCGGCCTCGAGGAGCAGCTCGGGCGAGACCCAGGTGGAGTCGGCGCCCAGCGACAGCTTGGCCTGAGGGATGCAAAAAACGACCCTACCCTGGGTTACAAGTGCGTGGTCTGTGAACCTCCCGGGAACGCCCGAAGCCTAGAGAGCCGCCAGGACGCCGCACATCGCGCAGGGTTTACCCTGTTAGCCCGCAGGAGGTTCAGCGCACAGCGCCTCGTAGGCCAGGGTAGGGGCGTTTTTTCCGCCCTTGATGGCCCGCTGGCGCCCCCCGACCCGCTCCAGGAGCCTCGCGCGCCCCACGTCGGCGGGCGCGCAGAAGCGGCCCCTGAGGCCGAGGCCGTCCCTGAACCGGCTCAGAGATGTGCCGGGCGGCTCCTCTTAGGTCGGGCCTGTCCCCCTACAGGGGGGATTTTTGACGAAAAATGATAAATAGTTAAGAAATGCTCCCGAATGCTCAAAAATAATAGGAAAATCGTCCCCAGACTTTTTTTGTACTATTTTTGAATATCCCCCCTGTAGAGGGACATGCCTGACTTAAGGCTCCTCCAAGCGTCGCGCCAGCTCCATCGCCGCCCTGCCCACGAGGCGGACCTCGCCCGAAGACACCCGGCGGTGGTTCGAGCAGTGCCGCTGCGAGGCCAGGTGCTCCACCACGGGGCTCGGCCCGAGGGCCTCCGCGGTGGCCGCGAGGGGCGCCCAGCGCACCTCGAACTTGCTCTGCCCCTCGCAGGAGAATAACAGAACGTCAGATTCGGCCGGAGATCCGCCCGGCCTCCCCGGGTCGGCGCCTGGACCCCCAGAGGCGCACCCGGCGCCGACGTCGGAGCGCCCCGCGCGCTGGGGAGGGGCCCAACGCCGATCCAAGAGATCCGCGCGGACCTCCGCAGAAT